CATAGGCAGCTTAATATTGGACCCGCGCGGTGCACGGGTCTTGGACGCGCGACCTTAGAAGTAGTAGAAACGATTTATAACCGCCGACGGTGGGAGGATTTGTAAATAGAATCTCGTTCAAAGAGCGTACCCTGGAAGCACGCGCGCGTGCTCGGCATAAATCGGGGGAGCGGTGGATTCAACCGACTCTTCCGCTTTTACGAAAATATTAATCCGCGCGGCGTATACAGACTTTCGTTTGGGCCGGATCTGCGACTCCGTGGAAATAGTGCGAGCGAGAGAATCTTTTTCCATTACGTTCGCCAACAAGTCTCAATGGGATTTAACAGAAATAACCAGCGGGGCGTCGACTTTGGTAGGAGAGAGCTTCCCGTTCTTTCCTGGAAAATTTTTCAATTAACTGCTCAAATATACTAAAGCGGAAGTATACAATTTTCAACGAGGAACACTATCCGCGTGAGAACGAGATGAGTAACAATTGTGGCGGCGAGAAAAAAAATTTATCCCAAAATGACAAATCTTGCGCCGAACAAATCAGCGTGCGATCGGACGACCCTCTGCGTGCGCGTGATCCTGAATTAACAAATGACCGGTTGATTTCTCTGGAGATAACGTTCCCGAGGGGCACTTCGACAGGTATAGGTGAGCGTCCGCAAAACCGAACCGCGGAAATTTCCGACGGGCTGTAACTGACGATGGTAATGTAACTGCCGAAATGATCGCTCGAGCGATTTGTAGCCGAACGGTTTCGCAAAGCTTCGTTGCGCCGTTACCGGATTGTTGTTTGCCGTTTGCATTTCCAGCGGTCCGTCTTGCCTGTCGGAAGTTCCGCTGGCCCCGACATCGCAGTTCGATGCATAATGCGCGCGATAGCACAAATTCGCATACGTAAACGCGCTCGCAGCGATCGTCGAGGCGCGATGCGGGGCCAACGCGATTCACGGATCGTTTGACAGCTCAGACAGCTGATCGACGATGTTACCGAATTCCCGAATTCTTATCCCCCCGACAACGACGCGCGGAGATGGATCATACGCAAATTTTTCCTGCTTAAAAGTACCTCTCGTCGTGTCATTTTGCGGTGCATCTATTCGCGAATCGACGCGAATCGTCGGCGATATTACATTTCCCGCAAATGTGGATAACGGATTTAGCAAGCGGAAAGTGCAACCGCGCTTTCAGAGTTTACAAAAGGGAGATTCATATTCTCCGCTCGTATAAGAACGGGAATCCCGAGTTCGCGCGCGGCGGCGAAAATAAAATCTGCATCCCCCCACCTCGACCGCGGACCAGAGTAGACGTACCCTCGGAGGAGCGCATCTACCGCCTTTCCCGTCGACCATAACTTCCTCCATCCTCAACTCCCGCGACCCGTCCGCCCTTCCGCTCTCCTCCTTCCTGTTCCCGCATGACTTCGCCAACCCGCCGCCAAGTTACCCAGCAAACCAACCGGCGAACTTCAGCCACCGTGCGACATGGATCCCACGAAGGGAAATTTTGGTATGCGATTTGGGGTCCGGCGTGAGTTGTTGTTCCTCGTCGAATTCTCACGGGCATCTCCGGACGCGCGATACCCCGGTATCGCGATACAGGCGGTAAAAGGGGATAACGCGAAAGGGGTTGGCGCACACAGCGAAATTCTACGACAGTACAACGCAACCGGTGTCGCGGAGCTTGTGTTGTGTCTCGTTGCCCGTCCCACGTCGCGCGTTACGGCTGCTGCAATCCGGCTGGCAGGTCACTGCGGCCGAGTGTCGAGGGAACAACGTCGTTGCAATCAGGTACGCTGTTGCATGCAATGCAACCAAGGTGCAAGAGGGTACCCTTTGCCATGCTATCGTGGGACTTGACGCGGCAAATGTAAGCGAACGAGCTTGGGGCAAGACGCCTTGTGTGTTCGTGGCATAAAACTTTTTTTTTAATCAAAGTAAGTATCTTTCGTCTAAAGCGAGGTGCGTGCGTAAAATGGTACTGCCAATGTTGCAATTCCATTTGTGAACACATGGTAACGAGATAATATCTCTGTCATTAATATTTATTATTATAAAAGGAAAAGTTTTTATGTGTATATAAAAAGTAGTGCCGAAGAATTTCTGAACCCCTTATAAAAAAGTGTATCCGCATTTTCGTTTAATGCGTATTTAAAAATATATCTTACGCGTCCGCGAGCTTCAGTCTATTGCCAAGAGAGGCGAGACCCTCTACTTTAAATTCCTACCTGCAATAAATTGCGGTACAGGTGAAGTAAACGTCTCGCTGCAGCGGACTTACGCTCGTTTCGGATCCTAAAACACTGCATTCAGGCGCGACGTAAATTCCACGAAAAGCGCGGGCGAAATCCCCGACGAATGTACATAGATTATTAAAGTAAAGCTAGATTTAAAGCGCATTTAGCGCCCGCTTTCGAAGAGCACGCCATCTAATTTTCTACGTACACCCGCGTGTGTTTTACGATTCTTACGAATGTAATTGCTATCGCGCGATGTGAATCGAATATAGTTTCCGTTGGAATGACGGGACACTTGCGTCTCGGAGAAGAAGAATCTTGGCTAAATCTTTATCCACGTTAAGTTTCTCTTACGAGCAATGAAATGGCGGCTTACAAGTTTTGCGCAGGCCACTCCGACACGATGCACGATTTACACGATTGCGTTACCACCGTCGCGTTTTCCCCCAGGTGTGTAACGGAAGTACGCTACAAATTGGCTACTAGCTCTACTCAAGCACTACCGGGACTCGTGCCGTAAGTCACGGCACTCGTTCCCTCTTCCGCTCTCACCTTGGGACGAATCGCATCCCGAATTCAATTTCACGAAACAGTCATTACCACGAATTTCTGAGTGTTTTCAGTAAAACTATCGGTGCATAAGATATTGGAAGAGTCGGTTTTAAGGGGATCCAAAAGCTCGTCTGTTTTACCGACCATAATAATTAATATAGACGAGCTTTTGGATCCCCTTAACTCCATATCGTCAACTTTATCGATAATTCAACAATGCTATTTTTTTTTTAACAAACGATTTAGATAAATATAATGTTTCCGATATGGAGAGATCTCTCTCGTTCACAGTTTGTTAGAGAATCCTCATCTAGTAAATCCGCACACACGGATACTTAGGGAGAAAGAAACAATCGTTGAAAAAAAAAAAAATTCGCATCGGCGGCTAATGCATTGGGAATTTAATCATGCTTGATACGAAGTTAATGAAGCGAACGGTCGTTAAAAGAAACTCCCGCTATGAGCACTTTACTTTCCGCCATTGCACGCCGTGACCCCGGACGCTTTTAAAATCGTATTACTATGTCTCAGGGATTCCGAGCGTTGAATTTTTGGCGAAACGAGATATATCTCGCTCGGAATTCCCTCGCGAACGAGCGCAATTTCTCCGAGGGAAAAAATATTGCAATGTCCGTAATCATGTTTAGGAAAATAAAAGTCAGCGATGTATCATTGATCGAATAATAGAAATAAAAACAGATGTTTGCGATAATCTTGCTTATTGTTAGAGAATAATGAAACGCATCTCCTCATCTTGAGAACCGCGTTTGCTGAGTATGTTCTTAACTAGTATAACTGTTCATATATGGAAATCGACATAATTCTATCATTAGTAATTCCGGTATGCTTGCTCTTTCTCTCTCTCTCTCTCTCACTTTATACGTACTCTTAATGTATATATATATACATATATGTATATATATATACATATATTTGCCTGCGATCGTATCGGTATAATTTAACATATGAAACATACGTCTGCATTCCATTGGCGGCAGACAACCGCGAATAGACTTCGCCGGACGACCAAGGGCTCGAATTAGGTAGAATAGATCTCTCTGTGCATGGATAATTTATCTGTTGACATAATACTGCCTGCCAGTTCCGAGCATTGGCGAGAAATGCGACCTGTCTAATTACAATCTATGTATGAAAGCGACACGTTATATCGTACGCGTGATTGCAAATAACGTCGAGTTACGAGCGAAAAATTTATAAATCGCGTTATAATTGCTGAGCTATGATAAATGTAATTAAAGAGTAAGAGTAGACGTTTAAAAACTGATATATTCATATTGCTTTTAAAGAGCATAATCTCGATAGATACGCACGTAAATTCTAAAATACTCGAATTTATGATATCTCTCAATATTTAATCCATATTATGTTCAATGAACAGAATATTACGTAGAGCAAAGATATCAAAACCGACACGGATTCTCTCTAAACCATCATACCCATATGTTTCAGCAATTAAATGGTACGCTTTATTAGAACTGATGTGAATTTGATTCACTTAATTACTCATCAGAAGCCTACATTTCATGCGTGCAAATTTTGTTTATATTAAATTATATTAAATTAACTTGAATTAAGTTCTTAAAATTCAAAAGCTTTTTTGTTTAATTTAATTAGCGTTTAATTAATACCTTTTTTAATATTGCGTGATTTTACATGCTTGTAGATTTTTCTACCCATATTTTAGTTTTCATCTTTATCGTTTCTTTCAAAATTCAAACAAGAAAATTAGATTAAAATATTCCAATATAACCAGAAAATTTATTTTTATAGATGAATAAGAAATCAATATAATTTGTCAAACTTAATAAATTTATATAATTCAATAATTTATCATAATATTTTTCTATATTTACATTATAATAATACTTCTAGTTTTCACTGAATATGTTGGTTTTGGGGAAATTAATTTCTCGAATTCTCTCGTTTGCTTTATAAAAAGATCAATTAATTCAAAACAATATTACTAAAATTGTAATATAGTAATAGAAAGCAATCTCTAGTAAATGTCTATTAAACATAAATTTTTATTTTGAACTTTCAACTAAAGATTAAAGCCCGAAAGCAAAATAATATGCTAATTTTGGCTTTCCTTTTTTACATTCCGTCGAACAACGTAATATAATCGATTTTCCTTTAATCAAAGATAAGATGAAAATGGAATAGATTTTAAATATTTGCTCCTCAAATTTACATTACTTACTTGGGCCCGATACGACGAATATTAAACTGATGAAATGTTAAAGCGATGATCTCATCCGGATGACCGATGAACGTGTAAAGAAGGCAATCAATGTTCGGCGGGTATTGTCTGGGAAAATTGGGGGATGTAAAAGTGCCACCTTGAGGCCTCTCCGAGCTGCTATATACAACGCAAGAACAACCTGAAAAAGAAAAGTAATACTATGTAGACATCTGGAAAAATCTGAAAGTTAGGAGAAATAACGTAACGCGCGCACATACGCAGAGGGACGAAGTAACGCAAAGTTTTAGTGATATTTGACAGTGTGTCCGACAAGTCGTATCTAATCGACGCTGCGAGCTTTCCCGGACATCGATGTGTCTCGCGCTGAAACGATTTTAATATAGAGATATCACGCCTTGTCGATAATGAAATTCACCATCTGACACTAGTTCCCGGGGGCGAGAGAAAAGTTTTCTTATTTCCAAAATGAAGCCGTCGGTCTGCGTATCGATCTAGTTTTCGCACTACTGGAGTGCCAAACTCGAGGAATTAAATTAAACTTTGACATTTTTGGAGCAAAAAATTCCGCGCGAAGGGATATATAATAATTCAACCGGCGGATGGTCAAAAATGTACGGTTAATAATCGTTAGCAGGGACATTGCAAGATAGATTTTCGTTACAAGATTCTTTTCGTTCACTTGTATCCAGCACGCGATACAAAAATGATGAAACATAAATTTGCCTCTTCCTCTTCTCCCGTATTCGGTGGATCAGACTGCGAATGGTTAAGCAATGCGATAATTTATAATAAAGTCATCGGTCAAAGGACGGGCTTACGTGGCTCCTATTTTCCGAGAAGCTTCCAACCGGCTTGTACGACTGGGAATAGCGAAAATTTAATTTCCTATTTTTCAATTAACTTTTACGTTAGTCGGGGCAACGGGATTTCTCCTCTCGGGCGGGCGGACACACAGGGGAGAATGCAAAGACCTGTCGTATCTATGGTTAAATAACGGCATGACACTTGAGTTATACCGCCGGTACAAAAGAGCGCCCGAACATTCTCGACCAGTTTTATGCTTTGGGGACCCCATTGTATCCCGTAACTCGATGTAATGCGGGAGAGAGGGAGGTTTCTCTCTCTCTCTCTCTTTCTCTGTTTTTTTTTTCTTTTTTTCTTTATCCGCTGAGGTACATGTACCAGGATATGTAATATACCGGTTTATTGTGCGGCCATTGTTGTAGAAAATAAAGTGATTCGATGTATAGAGCAACTGAATGCACGGGCAAGAAGTTGAAATTCGACCGCGAAATACTACGAAGCTCTCGTAAAGCGCGACATTTCGTCTCTCTTCAATGAGAGAATAACGCAAAAGTCTTTCGAAAATTGCGTACTTCGACATTATAAATTTTAAATCATGTAGGAGAGACGGAGTCATGTGTTTCTTGTTATAAAAGAAAAAAGAGATACTTTTGCGTGATCTTTGCATTGAATCATATTTGAAATTCGTGAGCAAGATTTTTTGATCTACATTTTTTTTATATCTCTTATACGAACGCACAATATCTAGACGCCACAAGGTCGTCTCAACTGGCAGGAAAAATGTGAATCATTACGGTGCCCGGTTAATGCGAATACAATCATTTATCCAAGATGATATCACCATCCGTGCGCTACCCTCGCGATCCGTCTCTGTCGGTGCGTGAGTGCTTTGCAATGATTATTCCGGCTGAAGCGATCCATTAGCACGGAGCATTCGTTCAGCACGGCAGAACTAATGCAAACAAAGCAATTTATAAGGATAGTGACGCAATTAATCAGCCTTTCGAAAAAGCGAGACACGAGAAGGAGGAGGAGGAAGTCGCGCACCAACGGAAAGGACATATCGCGTTTCGCGCGCAGCGAATTAATAGCCTCGCGAGCCACAAGTCGGAAGGATCTTTAGTAAATTAGCAAAAACCGACCGTGTTCTTTTTATCCCTCTCTCCTCTCGTCCCCCTTCTTTGGCTGCTCTTTCTCTATTTAACCGTGGTAAAGCGCTTTCTTTCGTTTTTACTTTTTCTCTTTGACCGTCCGATTTTTCTCTCCTTGTCCTGTTGTTCTCTCTCGCCACACATTTCTCGTCCAACCGTTTTCAACTCTCTGCATCGTCGTATAAAAATTTCTACAATTGGAAAGACACCCAAGCTACCTATCGCGTGAAACGTAACAGTAATACTTGAACTTATTTGTCGCGTAAGACACGCTGTGACATTTGCAATTTTCCAACATCTACGACCGACGTTGTTCATTTCACTCTCTTGTGTCCGATCGTCCACAAATTCTTCAATTTATGAATTGAGCATCAACAAAGTAAATTCGATCTCTATTTCCAATTGTTGGCACACGCTGTTTGAAATAATTATAATTTTATCAGAAAGAAAAAAACTATACTAAATTATTAATTATACAGTAATAATGTAGTAGCGATTAATTATGCCACAGAAGAAAACTGGAGCGCGAAGAAGTCATCAGAGAAGCCTAAGTCATCGAAATAATCGATGGCAAATGCTCTCCGCAAAAATGCTGGCGCAACGAATTCGTAAGAGACAGAACTCTCCAAGTCTGAAGGACCTGGCAAATATTTTAAGTACCGGCAGAATTAATTCTCCTCTCGCACGGGGTCACATATGTACATACATACATATGTACAATGTTATAAGCGACCACGGGCCTCTTGGTTGTTAAAGTGGGACGCTAGGCCGCTTTAAAACACTCGGAGACATCATTGTTCAGTCACGTTCACCGGCTCTGACTCGAGCATTCTCAAGCTGTGCTCTATTTATAACTGAAGCTAGCGAATTCTACGATAATTCCCGAAGGAAGGGACGATAGGTGCTTTTCCGTGAACGTGGAAAAACGCGCATACGATTAACAACGTGAGTGGCCTGAAGTGTTCCACGTCGGCGTCACGGCGTATAATCAGCACATGGCGATTGTTCGCACGTGGAACATGCACAACTTACGGCAAAATCGATCGCGAGATTATAATAAGGTCTACAAAATAGATCGTCCTCGAGTATTAAGAAAGCTTATTTATACACAAGGATGAAAATGACTCTGCGAAAAGAAAATAGCGGAAGAAATTTTGTTCAACAACAAAGACTATCGCTTCTGTCTAACGCTAAATATAATGCGGACGATTAATATATATAATTGCAATCTTTTTCAAACGTCATTCTCCGCACAATGCTCTTATTCTTTTTTTAAAATAAAAATAGACGGAAATCATAAATCATACTCATTTAAGTCAGAAAATCGAACTTATACACCAGATGTATTAAGCCGTTTTTGGATTGCCGTTATTTATCGAAATATAATACGATCTTTTTCTTGCGAGACGAAACCGTTGCACATTCCCTCAAGCATTATGGCTATATATAGTATGAGAATTCTGACAGGTGATCCGTGTGACACGGAGAAGTGCGAAGGGACGTTTCTTCCCACGACTCTTCGGCCGTCTGTACACTGTTATACGAGAGACAGTGTAACACACAGACAAAGATATAAGATCAGAAGAGCACACTAAGAAACGGCAACGATATTATTGCCGCCCCGGAAACAGCGGAAATCACTTAGCACTCAATTCCAGCCGCAAGTTGACTTTTCTGAATTCGGGCCGATGTGCCACAAGCTGCTGGCAGGATCGGAACTTGGAAGTTTCCGCAAAAGCAAGAGAAACTCTGGCCCCGCGCCTCTTCCTTTGTATATGTATATATATACATATCCCGTGATATATACAGGGTATCCCATAAGCATTGCGCACGCAATCTCTGCGTTATCGACTGTGAATATTATTATAGACAAACCGAACTTGAAAATATAGTCCTTTTTTTTTTAATGTTGTGTGAGAAGCCGATATTAGCAGACAATTAAAAATTGATTGATACATTAAAGCAAACTTGAAACTTTAACAGGAATTAATTTAAAGTTTAGGTACAAAAATATATATTAAATTTTCTTTGCGGAATGTTCTACTTCAAAATAATCAAAGAATCTATATTTCAAATATAACTTCGGTGAATATGAGACACTTTGTACACACAATTTCCAAAATTATTGTCTATACATGTAGATATATATTATATTACATATAATATTATTACCATAATAAATCCAAGCACTGTAGCAGTTAGAGAAAAATTTAATTAACGAAACCCACACATTGCATAAAAAGACTTATAATGATGATAAGATTTTTGTTTGAAACTGCTTAGGAAATATAAAGATCATCTTCATTATTTTAGAAAATCTATAATTTTTACGTTATTAAAGTAGAATTATAAGAATTCAATCATTTCCAAAATAATTTATTTTGACATGTTGTATAACATAAAATATGAAATATCTTGTAAAGTACTAAACTTTCCACTCCATTAAAATATTCATTAATTAATATTTAATAACACGGAATAATGAATAGAATCGATTAATGACTTCTCCTTCCAACATGATACAAGTGCAGCAATTTTATATATTTTTTAATACAATTATGTTTGTTATATCTCAAGCAATCATTATTTGATATATAAAAATATAAAGATAATGTCATTAGAAAGCGAATACATTTCGTGAGATATTACATATGTTATATCATATATCAAAAAAATTATAAAATATATTCTAAAATATTAATTGTTTAATACTGTAACATATTTATATGCAAAGAGAGAAACTAAAAGAAAGCATATATAAAAAAATTATATATATGTAAAATTTTATTTAAAGAAATTAAGATGACTTTTATACCTTCCAAGCAATTCTATCCATTAAAAACTTTTACTATCAGTACTATAATATAGCTTTCTCTATACAATGTAACTTTTGTTTGATCAATTTCCCGCTAACTGTTATAATTTCGGAAATAATAAAGGTAATAATAGTTACTTGACTATCTTCTGTATTTACATTTATACACATATATACATAACGTAAATAGATATATTTATATACAGATGATATATATATGTATGTATAGAATGCTTTATCTATCTCAGACGGTTCGAGATCCTTCGCAATGCAGCAGACTGCACGATGCAGCTAGATATCTGTTGAAAGCACGGCTACCACCACACTTAGATCACGCGATTACTTGGTGGACACAGAAAGGCTTCTGCTAAAAGCAGCCGGATAAAGAGGCAAGTGAAAAAAGGAAGG